CGAGTACAGAGGCTGAGTTGCGAGCCATGGCGATGTTGACGGCTGAGGTGATCTGGTTATGGTGGTTACTTGAGGATTTTGGTGTGTCTGCTACTACCTCGACTCCCTTACTGTCAGACAGTACTGGCGCTGTCAGTATTGCGCGTGACCCGGTGAAGCATGAGCTCACCAAGCACATCGGTGTGGATGCCCACTTTGTGCGTGCTGCTGTGCAGGATCAGACTCTTGCTCTTCACTATGTGCCCTCTGAGTTACAGTTGGCGGACTTCTTCACCAAGGCACAGACTCGAGCGCAGCACGGCTTTTTCCTCTCCAAACTCAGTGTTGGTGATCCACCATGAGTTTGAGGGGGGGTGTTAGATGTGTATAGTCCCTTTTCGGTATATCCCCATTGTATAAGGGATTTTCTGCACTTTGACACACATGTATATGTAATGGCCTTTGGCCCTCAGGAAATACTAGTTGCCATTCATCCAACAGTCAGTACAATATTATGCAGTCATGCTGGAGAAAAGGGCCAATATGTTAAAACATAGTCAACATGCCTAGTAAAATGGTTAAAGAATTGAGCACATTGTTTTCTACCAAAAAAAATCCTACTTGGTGATGCATATTTGCCCAACAAATAATTAGCCCTCCAAACTGATGGACTGAGTAAATGGTGTTAAACATGTAGCCAGATTACACGTTTGGGGCCTCATTCTTTCTTCCGCACACATGTGAGCATTCTACCTGTGTTTGTTTGCTCATTATTTTGCCCCTGCGTAATGTAATATCGGGTCAAAAGACGAAAGGTATTAAAACTCGCATAAATATTGTCCATATACAATCAACGAGGGCTCAAACTAGCGGGTAGAACTTTCACAGAATATTTGTTCTAAACAATCTGGATGATGAGCTCATGGTAGAGTTGTTCCATTCACCACAAAAATTAATTGCAAGTTTTCTAGGCTATCATTTACGTTAGTGACTCGCACAAGAGAGAACCTTATAGCATCCTTAGAATTTCTAGTATGTTACTTTATACACAACTATTGAAGCCTAAATTATTTATCTTGTGCAGATGTTGTGTTGGGGTGATCAATATTTTCTAGGGGAAGCCATCTGCAGTTTATCCAAGGTTGTCCAACATCAGTTAGATGATCCAATGCATAATCCAGCTGCAGTATATATTTTCTCTAAATAAATGCAAATGAAGGAAAAGAAACACAAATTCATTCTCCTTATATTTTATTTTGCACCCCTTTGCTGTTTTCCCAGGTACTGACAAGGCCAAATCGGAGCCTAAAATTGAATCTCCGAAATGATTCTGGAGCTCCACTACATAGCACATTGACTGTTCATGCTCAAGAAAATGTTTCGTCGAGGATGGCAGTTGAGATGACATTCCACTGCCTGAACCTGTATAACAAGGGCACTGCCCCAAAAAGTGTATGTATAACTTCCTTGGTATTTATAAGGTTAATCTGATTAGTTGCAGTTGTGAATGACTGATTTATGTTGTGCAGGATCCCTTCCTGAGAATCTCAAGGTCGTCAGAAAGTCCTATTGCAATTCCTCTCTGTGAAACAGAAGTGGTCAATAACAATTTAAAACCTGTTTGGAGGCCTATAGTACTGACATCACAACAGTATGGTAGCAAGGCAAGTACATTTATCTTTTTGGCGGGTGCCAAGTTAGTCCTAATTCTTAGAAAATGAATATTTCCATCGGCCATGTTTTGCCCATGTGAAATTTCAAGGTTAATCTGATCTTTTGTTTTTCAACCTGTGACTTTATTTCAGGATACCCCACTGCTAGTTGAGTGTTTAGACTTTGATGTCAATGGAAATCACAAAATTATTGGGTAGGTTTGTTGAGAAAGTAGTTTGGCATATTTTGCCATTGATCCCTTAGTTTAATCATTTTCGTTACTGTTTTGACAAATAGGACTCTCCATACAACTGTCAGTGAGCTTGAAACACTGTATAAATCAAAGGCTGGAGCAGATTTTGTTAGTGTTGATCTCCACTAGTTGGCCCAACGGCCAACTGGACCCTTGACTTAGTCCTGATCGGGGACGCTCAACACAACTGGGTTGCGGGCCCCTGTTGCGCAGCTCCATATAAGGGAGGTGGGGGCCACGAGTGCAGGACGCCAAGTATGGTTCGGACCCCACCTGCCCTGCCTACCGATTGAGGCGGAGCTGACAGCGGCGGGAAGCGCCGCCGCCAGCGCCACCAGCCACTTCACCGTCGACCTCTACGCTGAGCTCCCCTCCGTTCACCTCCACAGCACCGCCATGGCCACCGACACCATGGCCACTGCATCAGGCACCTCGAACTAAAGTGAAGGTATAATACCGATCTAACCTAGCCTACCCGATCCATGGATCTATCAATGGTATCAGCCCAGGTTGGCTTGTTGGATCTTCGGTAGCAAAAGAAATAGGGAGCTTGAAACACTGTATAAATCAAAGGCTGGAGCAGATTTATACAGCCATAAGGGACAAAGGAAGGTTAGATTTTAATTATACAACGCAACATACTTAACAAAAAATCACTCCATCTAGCCTCTTGATCTAAGCAATCTTTGTTCTTTTGAAAGGACAGCTCTTAAAAAGAAAGAAAGGAAAACTGTTCTTGGATAATTTCCAGGAGAAGGTAAAATATACTTTCTTGGACCATATATCCTACGGTTATGAGCTCATGTTTATGGTGGCTATAGATTTTACAGGTTAGTTTCTTAATTAACAGCTTAAATGATTTTTATGTAGCTATTTTAACGATTTGTTGGTGCTTGTGTTTCCAGCAAGTAATGGTATTCTTGGTTCACAATCGTCTTGGCACTACATTGACCCCTCTGGCAGTCTAAACTTATACCAGCAGGTTAGGAATTTTATGACGTTAATTAGATATTCTTGAAACTGAACGCCTTCTCATTGAACCATTTGATGCACCAGGCAATACAAGGGGTCGGCAAAGTTCTGCGGTCTTATGGCAATGGTAGCAAAATTCAAGCAATGGGTTTTGGTGCAAATATACAAGGCCATCATCTATCATGCTGTTTCAACTTGGTCAATGAGGAGGTAAGATTCATTATGTACTTCATTCATTTACTTGTTTTTCATCAGTAGTACTAGTATTTAACTGAACAACTAATGTTTCGCACACGAGAACATAGTGCTCCAGAGCCAAGTTCTGTTAAGCTTCGAATACCCTTCTCTTTTTGGCTTTCCTTGCAAATGTTAGCGGGCAGATATTGTTGACTCGGGAATTAGATTCATGTTGGACTCATGAATGTCATGGTTACAAAATAGTGATGTTCTTATCATGTTCGACCTATTGGCACAAGAAATATCATGCTACAAAATGAACGTTGTTCATGAATGCTGACAAAATATTAGAGCAACGTGTATAATACAGTAATATAGAATAACTGATGGTATTTTATTTATATTGCTTATACCAGTTTTGCAGACCTAATGCATTTTTTGCAGCTGATAGCACTTGTATTTCTTAGACCGCCTTTCATGTTTACATACTTGTCTAATTCTATTCCCATCACAGCTCACAGGAGTTGCTGAGGTATTTGCAGCTTATGAATATACTCTAAAAGTGGTTTCCCTTGCGGGGCCAACCATGTTTGGGCCCGTGATCAACAAGGCTGCAGAAATTGTCAGCCATTCTGTGGAAAACGGAAGTAAAACATATTCGGTCTTACTCATTATTACGGTATGTAATCAGATATCCTCATGTGATTGATGTTAGCTCACAAAATTCACCCGAGCATTGTTTGCAGGCTGAAGTATTTACTGACAAGCAAGAAACAATAGATTCTATTGTGAGGGCATCAGAGTTGCCCTTGTCTATTATCATTGTGGGAGTAGGAGATGCTGATTTCACAGAAATGAAGGTGAACATTTACTGAATATTTTCAGAATTGAGCTTCTTGAAGGCACTTTAACGGCATCTGCGGTGCCATGCGTCCAACGAAGATGCAGGAATTCACTTGCACCTACCAGAAACAATTTTACGAATCACATGTGGTTTGCCTGATGAACAAAGGCTGCCTGCTTATTTTTCAACGCAACATGAAGTACCACTAATGCTTATCTGACAATTCCCCCTGGCTTTGTCAGATGCTAGAGGCGGGCTACGGTAAGCGGCTGGAAAGCTCAACAGGTCATGTCGCGAGCCGGGACATCGTACAGTTTGCTCGCATGAAGAAAAATGGAGGTACATACCTTCGACTAACTCCGGCTGCTGTACCACCGTGGCTATTCCTGACCTGAAAAATAACTGTGACACCCATCACTGAAAGGCAACAATTTTGTGTGCAGGTCAGAACGTTCTCCAAGGTCTGCTGGATAAACTACCTGGGCAGCTCGTGGAGTACATATCCGGCCCCCGCCCGGTGGATTGCCACACATTAGACAAACTTGGGCTAGCAATTGGAAAAACCGAGAGATGTTTTGCCGCCAACCATTTGGGTGTGTTTGGCAGCAAATTATTGTAAAAACCAAAGTATTGAAAAACAACAGTAGCTTGTTTGTATCCATTGTCCACTAGAGGGTAGTTCAAATGGAATGATTGGGCTTGAGGAAAAAGAAAGGTTACTTTTATACCCATGGGCACCAAATTACCACTCTCCTTCACATTGCTTAATAATCAACTGTGTATGATTCAAGACTTCATTTTTGAATTTCTCATAAAGCACCGTTTGCCACGATTCTTTGCGCTTACACGCAGTACAATATGGAAAATACCAGAAATGACCACAAGGCAAAGTACTACAATGGTGATCCAGGCTTATAGTTCATTACAGAGTTTGCTTAGCCCATGGCATGCATACCCCTCGGTTTATACCATCTCTTCCACATGCTATTGCCTTCAAGATTGGATGAATAACCAAAATTCAGCTTCAACTTCAGCATCTACTCTGCAACATGTGCTGAACGTCACTGCAGGACGATTCATATGTTTCCATGTGGCGATTGGGTAGATGAGCATAAGCTGAAGCTATAATGTTGTTTGGGGGTCAAGAGATAATTTGCTGGTATCTGTGCCAGCGCCGTGGCTAGACGCCTTCTTCATCTCCAATGCAGTTTTGTATGGCGGGGCGATGGGAGGCTGGACTGGATCTAGGCTCTGGTAGGTGCCGCCTTCTGTGCTTGGAAGGGGGTATGAGCGGTCTGAATCGTAACCGCTGAGGTCACCGCAAGCCAGAAACGGGATGTAGACCTTGTTTGGTCCCTCCAACCATCCGCTTCTGCAATCTGCACGTGAAAAATAGCATAGATAATTTGGTATCATGTATCATACGTTCAGCCTATTGCGGCAGTAGAGCATATCATTCTCAGTACCTAGATCATCAGCCCCAGAAGGAGTTCCCACTTTCTCCAGCAGGTGATATAAATCTTTCTCTTTGAAGCCCTCTGGAGGTGAGTAGTTCTCGCAAACTGCAAATGCCTCTGTTTGACAAACATAAAGATAAGATCATATAAAAAACTTCTCATCAAGCAGGAAATATTATCAATGCTAAAAAGACAACATCAGAATATCAGTAATGCGACAAAAATGACGTGCGTCATATAGGAAAATAGGCAGACATACAAAAGGTACATGTTGACTCATTCTCCTTTAAGCAGTGAAGGCTTACCGATACTTGAGTTGCGGCTGCTTTTTGGCTTTGCAAATGTAACTTGTGAGAAGAACAGCTTTAACTGCATAAAACATTGATAGCAATAAGCACTATACTGTTTCCACATAAACACCTCGTGCAAACATCTAGAATGAATCAGTAAGTTAAATGCCACTTCTACCAAACAGAGTGTAAAATTGTAGCAATATCATGACAACTCTACTGTGACACTTAAGAGACTATTTGTAATCAAGCATATACAAAAAAGACACATGAAAGCTGATGACTAACTTCCTCGATGAAACAAAATGTTTCTGAAGTACATATGGAAATTCCTAACCAGACAAGCAAACCAGCACCAACCAATACCTGGCAATACAGGAGACTTGTATCTTTACCCCGGAAAATCTTCGCAACAAATTTTCCACCAACTTTGAGTACATGAGTCACAATTGTCAGTGCCTAAATGCAACACATATATATACACAAATTAGCCAAATAAACAAGCAACTTGCAAGTTCAATCTGGAAAACTAAGCCAATGAAAACTGCAAGTAGTTGAAAATATAACAAGTTAATAGAACCATAGTGTTACACCATGTAGTTCTACAACATACACAGCAACGAATGAGTAAAAATGGTCCAATGTACAATAAAAAATACAAATAAGTAATTGCACCGAAAGTAAACATTTTAAGGCAGAATGCCGAACATAAACTGCAGGGTTAAGGTAGCATTATTTTTGGACAATGTATCTTATGGACGCTGCAAATTGCTTCCAATAAAAATATACCAACCGCCAATATAAGCTGGGACTGAACAAACTCGTCCATATCATGAAGTCCAGTAACTGCAATCATCCAAAGCGAAGTAAGAAACAGAAGTACCATAAACACATGTAACATGGTTATGGACCACTCGTCTAGCAATGCAATCTTACCATCAGGGGCACCATCACAGACAACCAAGTCCGCTTTGCATCCATCAAAATGCCTGATAACCTGGCAGCATATTTACATCTGTTACAGCAAGCAAAAAAATAATTACACAAAATTAATCTATATGTGTCTATCCAATATCCATCTCACCACTTCCGCTGTTCGAGCATTGGTGATGTCGCCCTGCACTTGTATGACACCTTCTATCGGAGCCATCGGTTGCAGATCGATTGCGACGATGAGAGGAAGGCCACCATCTCTGGTATAAGCAGAGCACAGAAACAATAAGATACAAAGAATGAAATTATGTTGGAACATAAAGTGTTCGCACTGACGCTACTACTTACTTGCCGTCAGACGATAGCTTTGCCGGTAGATACAAATTGCGGCTCAAAACCTGCAATTGCGATTGAGATAAGCAACTGAATGAAGGCATGCAAGCATGGATGGGCGAAACTGAGCATGCTAATACCTGGCTCCAGCTCCCAGGAGCAGCGCACAGGTCAACGGCACGCTTCACTCCTGCACACACGAACAGCAAAACGAGAACGCCCTGTGGTTAATTCGATGCTGTGCATCAATGGAAGCAAAGTGGCAGGAAGGCGAACGAGCCGATTGGGTTGAGACGAGACCGTGGAAGATGTTGAACTCCTGGTCGATCTGCATGAGCTTGAAGGCGCTGCGAGCCCTCCATCCCTCCTCCTTGGCCTTCCGGTAGTAGATGTCCTGGGAAACCGATGGGCAGACCAGCGAGCCGCGGGCACGGTGAGGGGCAGCGAAGCGAAGTGGGGGAGGGGAGGGGGCGAAGCTGGGTGAGAACGAAAGAGAGGGAGGCCGCGTACCCGCTTGTCTTTGGAGGCCTTGCCCATGGCGACGAGGAGCCCAGCGCGGCGCAGGAAAGGAGCGGCGCGGTGCGGCGGAGGCCGACGGTGGTGTGCGCGGAGGTCCGATTGGAGATGACGGCGGGGAAGGAGGAGCGACCGGCGGCGCGGCGCGGCGCGGCGCGGGTAGTCTGTCTGCTGGGTGCCGACTGCGGCTGGGCTGGGCTGGGCTGTTGGGCCTATCTCGCTCTATACGGCTGTAGACGGAATCGAGCCCGTTCTCTTGAGATGGGTCCAAACGACCCTGAACCTAGCAAAGTTTTATTTTTCGTTCTAAAAAAAGTATATTTTTTTACCCGAAAAAGGGAAAATTGAGAAACTCTAATTAGGAAAGTGCAAAGAAGAAGCACATATGCTGCTGGCGTCTTTGGGTGCTGCGAGGGTTCGTTGTGCACACTGGTTTAATGGAAAAGTGGTTTCCCTATCAAAATAATAAATGCTTTACATATGAACTAGGAAAATTGCCCGTGCGTTGCAACGGGGATACACTATTAAAACATAACCGCCATGAAAACTGACGAGGAAGAAAACATGAAAGGATTATGTATGTTTTACCTCCTCACCGTGTCGCTGTTGACACCCTTCCCGCCCTGCATCGTGTACATCGACATCACATGACATGACATGACAAGCAATTGCTTAAGATCCTGCCATGGATCCACCTCAGCCCCGTCGTGAATCCCGGTCGTGTACTGTCATCATGGTGGCCGCACACGACGGGGGTCGTGACCAGTATCTTCATCATCTTTTTCACCGCATTTTTGGGACCTTGGTGCAGGCGAGTATAATGTCCCTGAGCTGACGAGATAATGAATCCTGTCCACTCTTGATGTCTGAACCGAAGATTTGGAAGTCGATAGTCGACGGATCCTCTTCTTGTATCTTAGTGTCTTTCATGGTAGATGGAAATAAGAATTAAGAGGACATAATATGTTTAAATTAGAGGTGTATGTGCTATTATGTTCATCTCTAAAATAGATTAACTGTACAGATAATTTGACCCCCTTAAAAGTTCTCTGTCAGAGCATATAAAATCACCATGTGCAGTTTACCTAATCTGACCATACTAATTAAGTGTAAGTGTAACTCATGCAAAGAAAAAGGAAATTCACTATGCCCACAAAGATCTAACTTTGTTGATCCTCACTTAACAGATAGTGGGCAACTTCAGTACAAAAATCCGAACAAAAGTGCTGTAATTTAAACCACCCGCTGAAGCAATCCTGGTACAAGACTGATTCAATAGCATATTTCAATCTGGTGTTGCAACATCTTACACTCACCTGCTTACCGTCCGCCAAACATGGTTTTGCTCTCTCGCACACAGATGGACCAGGCTGGAGTTTTCAGTTCCTTCCGTTTTTGAACGGGGTTTTCAGCTCCTTCATGCAGCCCAAAAGGACATGGCGCAGATTTATTTTCACCATCCCTGCTACGACCAACAACCATCAGAATAACCCGTAATGCTTTTATCTCCCAGTTTCGTTTTCTTTATAATGGAACTCCCTTCTTCTCACAGATCCATCATTCCTTGCCTGTCGAGCTCCCTTTGTCCTCAGTTCCGCAGCCATCAGAGTCCCCCCGTACAGCCGGCGGCCAAGCAGGCCTGGGACGCAGCACAAGCGCCATGGAGGAGATTGGCCTAGAGGATTAGGGCGTTCGCGCGTCCCCTTCCAGCCGGCGGCCAAGTAAGCATCGGTCATACCACGGGTGCCGTGAAGGAGCTCAGCCGGGAGGAGCAGGACGTCCTTGCCGGTCCCCTTCCAGCCAGCGCCAAGCATGCCCACGTCTCAGCCGGGGTGCCGTGGTCTCTGAAGCCATCAATGCTGCGGCGTTGTACGAGTGATGGCAGGCACAAGCGATGATGGAGCCGAGCGTGGCTATGGGGTGCGTGGGGATGGGCGATGGTGGTGCGGCTCCAACCGTTGGAGGCCAGATGCGGGATTGCGGATGGCAACGCTGCTTCGGCATTAGGAGTCGGCGGCAGAGAGAACGGAGACCCAAAGCTTGCGTACGGCTGCGTATATACATATCTACTTGGCTTAGCCCTCACTACGAAGATCCTGCAAAGTCAGAACGGCAAGAATCAAAGAAGGGGTCAACGGAAGAGGAGATCGAGTCGGCCCCGATGGGGCACCGTGCTCGTGGAGACAAAATTAAAAATAGTGTGCGTGAATCGGGCGTGAATCGGACGAGAAACATGCGATGCATACGTGTGAGGGGATGTACGTAAATTTTTACCACGGACCGAACCAAGCAGACCAAACCAAGAATATCATCTCCTTTTAATAGTAGGTATAGATATAGATATAGATATAGATATAGATATAGATATGACCATGTATTTCCGTTGAAGAAAATTGTTCTCATCATACACACACAAAAAATCGCACAAAATTCCGCTTTGTTGCATATGTAGAAACACAATGTTGCGATAGCTCACTGCACTTGTGATCCTGGCTTTTGATGTAAGGGATGTGTTTACTCATAGGAACACTTTCATGCCAAATACACACACATCACCTACACAGGATGCACAAATAGTATGGACGCAAAAGAAAAAAAAACTTATGTTTTTTCTTTGAGAATGAAAAAAAGCTTATGTATCCCCGCCATAAAAATAAACAACCATAAATCGTAAATTAAGCATGTAGCTGAAACGGTGATAAGCGAGGTGATAACTCTAACTAGTGGGTCAAATCACTGCAGCTACCAAGAAAAGGGGCAGTTCCAATTTCAAATGCGGATATGAATTTTTGCTAGGGGCTCCAAAAAGTCAGATTTCGCAATTTAGGTGTCCACGTCACACAGATCAATGAGACCATAACCATATATAGATGACAATATGGGAGAAACAATCACACAACTATCTTTTTTTTGAGAATCACCGGGGGGGAGCTCCCCCACCTGAATATATTGCTCAAAGGGTTGCCGTGGCAGCGAGTACAGAATTACATAGGCACGGTGCAACATGCAGAGAGGTAGGAGCGCCACGAGAAGGCGTCCTCCTTGTCTTGTGAAAGCACAAGATGATGAGACCAGAGATCCAAAGCAGTAATAAGGTTCCTAAGGGTTATTACAAAGTTTTGTTCGACCAATCTAAATACCATATCATTACGTGCTGCCCAAATCATCCATAGTAAAGCCAGGAGAACCGAAGGCCAAGCCGTGGTCGGGAGGTGAGGAGGAGTAGTGGCGTCCCATAGGTCTGAGATTTCGCTGGTTGGAGGCAGGAGCCCAAGTCGTTGCCAAATTCTGTTAGCAAGAGGGCACATGATGAAGAGGTGGTTGGAGTCCTCGAGTAGCCTAGCACACCGAGGGCATATATCTGAATCGATTATATGCTTGCGTGCAAGGTTGACCCTAGTGTTGAGACGGTCTTTGAAGAGTAGCCATGCGAATACTTTGAGCTTCCGAGGAACTTTGGCATTCCATATGAAGGGAGCAATGAGATCGTTATCTGGCCGAGCCATGAGGGCACTGTATGCATGTGCTTGGTGGAGAAGGCAATGTCATGTCGTAAGAACCGTTGGTCTTCCCCCGCCGATGGCATAAAATCCTGCAAAATAGCCACAAGCGACACTAGCTCTTGTTCTGCCGTGAGGGAGAGGCGATTACGGAGGTTAGCTTGAATACCGTAACGCAAAATGTTAGCCACTTTAACCAGCTCTAAGGTGGAGTGTGAAAATAGGTGGGGGAAGGTGACGGCAAGGGGTTGTGGGACCAACCAAGTGTCGAGCCAGAAATATGTGTGTGAACCACTATTTGTGAGCACGAAGGATATATTTTGTACAGTAGGGATTTGCTGTGAAATTGTGCGGCACAGAAAAGAGGTTTGTGGGGGTAAGGAGACTAGAGCGTTAGGGTGTTGAAGATCAAGCCACTCCAGCCAGGGTGTTTGTGCAGTGGAGAGTGATTTGGCTGCAAATTTCATAAGGAGGCAGTTGTTCTGAACGTGTAAGTTTTTGAGCCCTAGACCACCAAATTTTTTGGTAAACAGATATTTTTCCATGCAACAAGACATTGAGCACCTGAGCAAGCATCGTCTCCTGCTAAAAAAACTCCTTCTCAGGGAGTCCAGAGTTTTGATTGTTTTCTTTGGGATGCGAAAAACAGACATAAAATAGGTGAGGATTGAATCTAGCACCGCATAAATGAGGATGAGCCGATCACCTTTATCAAGAAGTTTAGCACGCCAACCGGTAAGTAGTTTACTGGTTCATTCAACCAGAGGGTTGAAAACATTGGTGAGAGGTTTGGTCGGGGCGAGAGGAAGACCACTAGTAGAAAACATGGCATACGTTTGGGCCAGGTAAGCCCATTAGTCCCGGTTCGGCAACGAACCGGTCCCAATGGGCCCATTGGTCCCGGTTCGTGAGGCCAGGGGCCTGCCGGGCCTCGTGGGGGCATTGGTCCCGGTTCGTCTGGCCTCTTTGGTCCCGGTTGATGGGACGAACCGGGACCAATGGTCCTCGCTCCTGGCCCACCTCCATTGGACCCAGTTCGTGGCATGAGCCGGTATGAAAGGGTGGCCTTTAGTCCCGGTTCTTGCCACAAACCGGGACCAATGAGTTGCCTATATATATCCTCGCCCGCGAGCAGAGCACTCCCACTGCTCTGTTTTTCCTGGCCGGCGACGGGGGAGGCTTGTGGTGCTCTAGCTTACCTCCTATGCCCATCAGGTGTTCGATGGAATGCCCGAGCCACACTACTTAAGCTTTCTCCTCTCCAAGCTCGACCTCCAAGCTCCATTTTCCTCAATATTTGTCTAGGTTTAGCGGTCCGTCACGTCACGTCCCTGTCTTCACCGTCGTCGATCGCCCGCGCCGATCTCGTCGCCGGCACCACCGTGGTGAGCCTCTTGTTCTTATCTTCTTTCTGAAAGGAAAAAATTCTTACTTGTATGTTTATATAGATACTTGTATAATTTTCTTACTTTTATTATTGCTTCTTATTCTTTAGTGCGATGGTTTTGGTATCCGCCCCCG